CAGTGATGTCCCAGTTTGCTTCTTCATTGCTCTGAGTTCTTGTGGACGACCTATTCCCCTTTCCTAGCCAGACTCTCCTGGATATACCCTCCCCATGTTACCGTTCTTTGCTTCTGTTAACCTCATCTTCTGTTCTGGCTTTCATTTGCTTCATCCATGTAGCTTCACCGGGGGCTGGCTGTAGCCTGACACACTGCATTCTGGGAGTCCATCTTCTAAGGGGAGAATCAGGAAGAATAGAGACAGTAACGACCTTCTTGCTGGCCCGAGAAGTGCTGAAGGGCAAGGGGACAATTCTCTGGCTACCATTTTTGTCAGGGCCATCCCAAACGAAGCAGCACAGTTCTCACAGGCTTGAAGGGGCTGTACTAATTTGACCAGATGGCTGGGCCATGACTCACTGAGACAGGGTTGGCAATAGAGAAATGTTGTTGTTGTTGTTGTTGTTGTTTGGCCAGTACTAAAAAAAGACCCAAGGCTTATATGCATACATGCTGTACGTTCATCCATTGCCGCCCTTCCTCACCCCACCAAGGGAATGCCAGACAGGCTGCCCCTTTCCTGCACTCCTCTCAAGCTCCTTATTTTCTGACTCTGTTTCTAGGCTACACTGGATGGTCATTTTGACCTGATTTCTCCTGCCTGTGAGGGGTAGAGAGTAGGGTGGGAAGGTACATGGTGTGACTTACACCACCTCAGTCCACCACCTCCTGGGGATGGCCTGACCTGGGTGGTCATTTTTAGCCTGGTATTTCCTGGGCCTGGGCCAGGGGCTGAGGCCAGTGGAAGAAAGGGTAAGATGGCACAGTTTCCCTGGCAGATTCGGCAGTGATGAGCTGTCGCTGGGGAACAAAATGACTGCCTCATTTCTAACCTCTTTAGATTTGAAATACTGCAGGAGCCTCTAACCTTAATGATGAAAAACATCCTGAGGAGAAAAGCTACTTAAATCCCTGAAAGATTGGGCTTCTGCAATAAGTTTCAAGAAAAGCAGTATCCCTGGGTAGTGTGTTTCTAAAAGTATAACTTGAAACAAACTGTAACTTCCATTTGCACAAATTATGCAAAGTATAACTTCAGCCTCCAACCAAGTATTTTGAGCAGGTGGACCTGTTTTCATGATCAGATAGGACTCATTTATATTTAGGAACATTTATTTCTATGAAAACAGCATGCTCCTGCCTTAGAAAACAAAGCCAAAAGAAAACAATTCCTCCTTTCAAGTGGGTTAAACATATCTCACAATGTCATTTTTACAGGAAAACTATTCCCATGGGGCTTTCAGGGGCTGCTTTGGGAGAGTCCCTGCAGCTGCTTGGAGCTGCATAAAAGGGCCCCTACTCTCTCTGAGCTCCCTTCCCCATAGGAGCCGGGGAGCCTCCAAGAGCTCAGAGAAGGTGTGTGTTGGATGTGTTAGCTTTGAACTTGCAGTGCATTGAAGTATGAACTATGAAATATACTGTCAATTTGATTTCTCTGGTTACAGGTTAAAATCGGTTTTTGTGGGCTAGCTTGGAAACTTATTTACCACCTACAATATTATTTTCTCTCAGAAAATTGCTTAAAGAGAACTTTTGAGATAGGACCCCTTCATAAGTCAGTCTTAACTCTTTTAGCAGACTCTTTCCCCACAGGTGGTACAAAAGTGACTTTTACCGCATCCCACATTATGTGCTCCTAAGTTCTGGGAGTCTGGCCCATGAACTGCAACGTTTAATTATGCTTTATTCAGTTGGTTTATTTTGAGAGATAACCGCAGGCATCTGTGAATCCCAAGAACAAGTTAGTTTTATCTTCAGCTTCAAGATCCTTCTTTGCAGAAGTCATATGTGAATAAAATGGCAAATAAGAGTACTGTGAAAACATCTGGGCTTCCAGCTGACATCTTACATTTTCACAGCTGTGTTAGCTTTCACGTTTGTCACAGCCCCTTCCAAAGCCACTGGCCGTTTGAAACCTCACAGTGTTCCCTGTGACGTGGGCAGAAGTTAGGTATGAAAACATTAGGTATTATCGTATTACCTCGACACACTCTTGCTTAGGAGAAGCTAGTTAAGTGGGGCTATTTACAAAAAAGACCCCATGACGGGAAGGTTCTGAAATGACTGCGACTGAATATTCAGAGATGGTGCCAAATGGGACCACGAGAAAGGGAAGGTAAAGATAGATGGTCAAAAGGAGATCCCTCTACTAAAGGATTTTGAGGCCTCCTGAGTATCTTTGTTCCTTAAAGAAAAGGATTTGCTTCCATGCGATTCAAGCCAATGACCTTCCACCTTCAGGACAGAGGTAATAATCAGTAGGCCACAGAAGCAAACCCCTTCCTTTACATTTTGCTGTAAGTTTCTCTCCTTTTCTTTCAGTTTTATCTAAGTATGAAAACCAGATTACTATTTTTGCTGACTACCTAGAAGAATTTCCAGATACAGATGAGCTGGTATGGATCTTGGGGAAACAGCATCTCCTCAAAACGGGTAAGGTTTGGTAGCATTTGTCTGTGAGAACCCAAATGAAGTGGGTGCCCGAGGTTCAGGTTCTGTCCATTTTTCCCTGTCGGGTTGGTGGAACGTTATTTTGGTCACCATTAATGCCACTCTTAGGCGGATATATGTGCCTTGTAGCCAGAGGAGTTCAAGCCTCAGACCCCTTGCTTGCATAGGTTCCTTCCAAGGCCCCGAGAGTCCCTAGCGGGGAGTTCATGTGGTCATAAGTGTTGGTACAATTTGAAAAAGTGAGATATGTTTTTATTCTTCTCTTTAAAGGAGAGCCCCTGAATTCTGTAAGCCTTGGGTTTCATAAACCATGCACCCACTCCTAGTATCACTAACCAGTACTTAGTCTGCAATGCCTGGGCTACATACTTCTCATGCCCCTTGTGTCCTTTTCTGTCTAGATTCAAAACGCTGCCACCTAGGGGACTTCTAATCAGCCCATGGCTGTCAGAAACTCTCACACACTAAGGAGTCTTGTAGTTGTCGATCTTCCACTGACTGTTACTGTCTCGGTGTATTCTGACCTCGTATAGAACTTTTAGCCACTGCAGCTAGATGGGAAAGAGGCTGGGATATTTCTTCCCTACCCTTATATACTTATAGATTGGGGAAGACCTTTTCACCTAACACTGCTAACAACCCAGCACCCAGATGAAGCCTGAGCTTGGAGAGAGTCAACTCTGCTTTTTCTGTTTATCTGAGGAGAGATCCTCTTTGAAGGCCCTAGCATAGAGAAGGAGATAGGAAGGAGCTGATCACAATGCAAGAAATGCTTTGAAGAAAGACGCAAAAGCACTTGTGATGTTCTGTATCCATTTAGATTACAATGCCAGTTGCAATAGGTAGTATGGACACACTTTTACACCCTTAATTTGCTTAGCAGGGATCTCTCCTTTTTAGTTAAACATATGCACATGCACACACATGTGCGCCCCCCCCCCCCCCAGTTTTAGATAATGGACAGCGGGTACCGATGAAAGATCCAGCCAACTGTCATCGTTCAGGCAGGGGCTGATTGCCTTGCTAGTGGGTTATCCTTGCTTTTCCTATTCCTTGTCTTTTGGCCGTGACCCCATGTTGCTCAGTGAGAGGGAGACAAGGAACCACCCAGCCAGTAGCTCTGGTCCAAACCTAGGTGAGGAGGAATGCTGAAATTACTTGGCTAAGATGAGATTGGGTTTCCTCTGCACTTCCCTAGCCCTCTTACAATAGAATTGACTGGTTATTTGAAAATGAGTTGGCTGCTGACTCAGAAATCAAAGGCAGATATCTTTAGACGGGATATGGTGATTTAATTGTAATTTCACATTTAATTACAGAAAAATCTAAGCTGTTGTCTGATATAAGTGCTCGCCTATGGTTTACATACAGAAGGAAATTTTCACCAATTGGTAGGTATATCATTTGTTGTGCTGTGCTTTCTTCCTTGTAGATAGCTTGCCTGAGGTTATCAGTGACTTCACAGAAACCTCAGAATTAACAGCTCACTGTGGCAAAGAACAGGCTTTAGGGGAATAGCTAAGTCTTAAACTATTTGGAAGTTTCATTGCCAAAGTGCCTTATCGTGTATGGTTCCTTGGCGTTAAGGACTTTTGAGTCCAACTCCAAGTGTTCAGGCACCAGATTATATTCCTTGTTTTACTTCCTGGAGCACGAAGAAAGTCAAACTTCTAATTTGGGTAATATTTACTAAATTGTAATCCACTTCTTTGTGGAGCTACATGATCATTAAAGACAATTATTCCTTGAGAGAAAGAAAAGAATTCCTTTGTTTTCTTGCCCCTACGAAATGAAAGCACCTTGCCCCTGGAAGATGAATTATTATATATTTCCTTGGAACTAATTATAGACTGTTAGAGTACCAGCTGCTGTCTAGAAAAACAAGACAGGTCAATAATAGGCTCCCTTTAGAGAAAATCCGTAAAATGTTTTGTGAGTAGGGTGGCCTATTCCTGCTATCATGGCCCTGTAGGAAAAGAGTATCAAATCCAAATGACAGAAGCTGTTCTCCTAAGAGAACATCCGTCTGACTGGTTTTGATGCAGGCCTGAACCTAGTAACTGGAGTAATATCCTCTTTTCTGATAAGTGCCCCAAACCCAAGTCTACATGGACAGTGTTTGCTCTCCACAGGGAGTACCCAAGCAGGAAAACAATCCAAGAACAATCTTTAGTACCCAGTGGTTTTGAACTGTTAACTTTCTCTAGGTGAAGAGATCTTCACAAGGCTTGAGAACATTTGCAGTTCAACTCTGACAACGTTTTGGCAATAGACGATCTCTTCTTTATGTGGACTTCACTGCATCCTTCCTGTACTAATGTGGCCTATAATCCGCCATTAGCAAGAGCCAAAGGGCTCCCCCTTCCAGTTGGCGAGTTGGCTCAATCCTCCCCGTCTTACTGTAGCAACTCTCCTTCAGTCCCCATGACCAAAGGAAAAGGGTGGTCCCCCATGGCCGTCTTATGAGGCTGATGACCCTCTTTAAAGTCAGTCTGGTGAGATGGTGCTCATAGCATCGTTTTTCACTTCCATGTTGGGGGGACGGAAAATAATGAAAGCAGAATGTCTCCTCTGCCATCCAAGTTACCTGATTTCACTGGTACCTCGAAAAAGGATATTGAGCTCAGGCTGGCCACATACGTGGGGTTTTCGTTACATCAGGTATTCTTAAAGTGGAAGCCATTGTCTTACTTCATTTATTAACTGGTTTTAGGCCTTTTAGAGATGTGGCCCGTTTCTCATGTACTAGTAGCGTTTTTAATGACGGCCACGTGCTTAACACCAGATATTTACACCATCCTGAGTGGGTTGTATAACCTTTCACAGATATTTTCTCCTTCAGTGTTTATGATATCCCCCGACGGTAGGCAGGGTATATGTGCTGTTGTTCCCAATCCACAGTTGAGACTTGGATCGGGCACCTAGAGACAGTCCTTCTGATGCCTAATCTAGGACTCTTTCCTCTATTTTATATTGTCCTTCTTGCTGTTCAGATCTTCCTAATGTATATTTAGCACAGTCAGGAGCCTTCCAGATCTCTTTGACCACGCCGATAATTCCCCTTGGTAGCACTGATTCCTTAACTAAGGTTAAGACTGGCCTCCCTGAGAAGTGAGCCAAGCAAAGCCAGGTTTGGTCAGGCAGATAATGATACGGCGTGGGTTAGTATTGGTAGTCATACCTGGCGGTCATCGACCACAACTGCGTGCACACCGAGCAAGAAGTCTCCAAGCAGAAAGCGTAAGGGGCAGGGTTTGTTCATTTGTTGGTTTTGTCTTTGGCCATAGAAACTGTTTCGGTTAACCCTGCGTCACCTTTGCAAGTCCCACCCTCTAACAAACCCTGTTGGCTGTCTGGCTGTCTCTCTTGCCTCTCTTTTCAGAGTCCGTGTGTCTGTCTGTCTGTCTGTCTTAGATGATTCCCACGTACGCTGATGTTTTGGGAGAGGGCAATTTAGGGAACTCACAGTCATTCCCGTCCATTTTGCCAACAGGGGGAACGGGCCCTTCATCAGATGCTGGCTGGGGATGTATGCTACGCTGCGGCCAAATGATGCTGGCTCAGGCGCTGATCTGCAGACACTTGGGAAGGGGTGAGTTAAATGGATCCTCCCTCAGAGGCCTCTGCATTAGCACTGCCTGCTGGTGGCTTAGCACTGGGGCCGAGTGTCGGGAACACTCGGTAACAGAGCTGAAGGCCCTACAGTGCTCTCTGCAGGCCCCAGTGGCGGTGGGGGGGGCGGGGGGGTCCGACGAGTCACCAAAGCCTCCCACGAGAAGGAAACAGCCGGCATTTCCTTGTGACTCACCCGGCCCCAGAGTTATTTTCCTGGGACAGAATTGAACAGGGAGGGAGGTGTGTCATTTAGAGTTTCCATCTTCACTATTGTTTGAGTGAGTCCTTAAACAGGTCAGATAACAAAGAGAGCAGGAAGAAGGGTGTGGCGGGTGGTCTGTTTCTTGACCTCATTTAAAATGTCTGCCTGGTGAAGGATGGAAGTGACCTAAAGGAAGTGCTTGATGAGGGAGTGGGTGCTATTTTGGTTTGGGTTCGCTGAGAATGTCCATTGGGCGACGAAGGAATCCTTAAATTAGATTTCTCAGGAGGCCGCTTCATTAAGAACCTTCCGGTCATCTTTGTTGAAGCCCTTGAGTCTTGCTTTCTTGAGCCATGTGCGTGCTTCTCTGTGGGCATCTGGAGGATGACCTTGGCTGGGTGCCCGTGCAGGCACTTGGGTGAAAGGCGGGTTTCACCTGGGGATGAGGGAGGAAAAGGACCCCTTGGATGAGAAGGTACCTGCTGAGCTCATTGGCTGTTGCTCCCTGAGATTCCTTCAACCCCCCTGCCCCCGCCGCCCCTGGCTGCCACCACCCCGCTCGTGCAGCCTCACGCATCCCGCTGCAGTTGCCAGAGCAGATGGGAAAGATCCTGGGAGATTTTAGGGCTTTGAGGCCTTCTCTTCAGGGTTTAGAATAACCTGAACCTGCTTCTCCTGGGGAGTATCATAATTCCAGTTTTACAGATGAAGAAATTGAGGCTCAAGAAGTAAGGTGACTTGCCCAGGGTCAAACAGCCAAGAGAAGGCATGGATTGGAGAAGAGAAGAAGGCAGGTCTCCCGACTCCTTGTGCAGTGATGTCTCCACTGTGAGCATCTGGCTCAGAGCAGATCCGTTCTCTTTAACTTCCCGTGTATAAAACACAGCAAGATGATTCTCCTGGAAGTGACTTTTGTGGGAAGCAAGTGAGAAAGACATAAAACCCCACAGTCAGCCGTACGAGTTGTTTTAACAGAAAAGCAAACAGCAGGGAGAATTTGGAAATCAATCTTGCAGCTGAGATAAATTCAAAGATGGAATTTTGTAAAAGACGTGTTTTGGAGCACTTCCTATTCACTTACTTCATAGTTAAGGTGGAGTGCTCACTTATCACTGTCATCAGTCAATATTTAGTGGTACTTAGCAGCCAGCTAATCAGGATTTCCCCAGACTTGGACAATTTGGTAACAAATGATGAAAAAAAAAGTTGGGTGCAGTTCACCTTCTGAAGACTGTACTGGCTACAAAGTTTAAAACTTTGGTTTCAGAACTATTGGAAGCAAAGAGATCAGAAGACTCTGGAGATAATGGCCTTTGACTTCAAGAATACTTCAGTCGTGAAGTCAAACTCTGTCTAAAATCTCAGGAAAGAAATTTGTGTCTCGGAAACCAACTAAGCCCCAGAGAGCTGTCCCGTGAGACAGAGTTCCTAGAGCTGAGGGAATGGGAGAAGCACATCATCTACAGCGGAGATTATGGAGAATTTTTACAGTTGTCCCGAGTCCTGGGATAAATAGGCTCTGTGGCATTTGCCGGGGGGGGGGGGGGGGGGGGGGGGGGCATGCCTAAGGCACAGAAGGGATTCCTCTAGATGTAATTATTTGGGTTTTGGTCACAAAGAAACCTTGAATACTTGATAGCAAAGGCATTTGTTTTTCCAAAGGTCAGTGTGGACTTTTTCAAAGCTGTGTAAAAATGGCAGCTTGCCAATTTTTTTGAGCTTCCTTAGTTGTGAATTGTGTCTATCCCCTGCACACTGTTGAGTGTCCAAATAGCACTTCCCCATGAGACTCTTTTGGCAATGCTGCCAAAATATACAGACCAAAGCCGTTGCCGTCTGTGTGGAGATGAGACAGTATGGCGTCGGGGTGTTATAAGGATATACTTCCGGGTTTTGTGGCGACCTCCTGCTCACAGAGTAGCTGACCAGAAAAGCCTTTTCTGACGTCGTTTTCATGTAATATTTATCTAGCTTCAGCCCTTGGGCTAAGTCAACTCCTTGGTCAACTTGTTGTTTTGCTTTTACTTTACACCCACTGAGACTTTGAAAGTAATGTCTCCAGATGTCTTTGTCATCAAAACTGAAGTTTACTTAGGAATGTTCTAACCCAACGGCCCCTGCCTTCTAGCTGCAACTCCTTTGTTTTCCTTCTAACCTCGTAGTTACGGTAAGAGAGGTAATAAGCAGAGAGGGAATAAGCGGTTATAAAAATGACTTTAACTCATTTCTTTTCCTAAAAAGACTGGAACTGGGAGAAACAAAAAGAACAACCCAAAGAATACCAACGGATCCTCCAGTGCTTCTTAGATAGAAAGGACTGTTGCTACTCTATCCATCAAATGGGTAAGGTCACATCGGTGGTTTTAAGGCAATGTCTGCACCCGCTGCTCTCATCCCCTGCCTTATATGTGGCTCTGTGAATTGTCCGTCTGCTCGATTATTTATGCAAAAAACTAGGAGCTTGTGGCGTGCTGGAAGAACTTTTGCTAACGTCTTTTTTTTCCCCACATAAAAACAGCACAAATGGGTGTAGGAGAAGGGAAATCAATTGGCGAATGGTTTGGACCAAATACAGTTGCACAGGTGTTAAAGTAAGTAAAAGAGTCTGGCGTCCACCTTACTGTTCTGTCTCCTATGCCCCCTCTTCTGCTAACCCTGTGTCCCATCAGTCTAGCTCTTCTTGCCATCCCACTGAGCCGCCAAACATCTGTGCCATTTTGCTCCGACAGTTCTTTGAGATGGGTGCATGCGGACATCTGTTCTGGTAGATCAGAGTTGTATCCATTGGTACCGGTAGATGGGGAGGCACCTCAGGACTCCTTCAGTGTCTCTTCCCTCTCTGGGTTGGTGCTCACCTTCCAGAGAACCATCAGCCTGACGGTCACTTTGAAGCCAAAGGGCTAATGCTAAGTGGCGGCGGAGGCTGAGGCAGCCTACGCAGGACCCAGACTCCCACCTTGTAGAGTATAAAAGGCCTCATTCATTCATTCCTTCAATATTTACCGAGTAGCTCTACCATGCTAAGTGCTGGGTATATGGAAATAAACTCAACACGGTCCTTGCCTCGGGGAGCTCGCCACCTGTGGGAGGAGACCAACCCCTAGGGAGTCTTGGGATCAGTTTGCCATCTCTTAGCAGACTCCGGGTACCCCAGCATGCTACTTTTGCCGTTGTTCTGTTAAATCACAGAACTCACCTCCCACAGCAAGGGGCAAGATGGAGAATCTAAGACCAACATTTTAGAAGTGAACGGGGTGAGTGGCATCAGCACCTACACCTGCCTGTTGTCCCTCTCCTTCCCGACGCCTGCCACTGAGGGCAAACTCCGGGAGGGCAGAGATTGTATTTGTTTCGTTCACTGCCATAACGCTAGCACATAAAACTGCCTGGCACCCACAGGTGCTCAACGAATACTTGAAGGATGAATGGAGATGGCATCCAGAATCTGGGGCCGGATTTAGGCCATCAGAGGGTTGGAACCATCTGGACTCCTTGGGGTGTAGCTTGCTTCTTCAATTCCTGGGCTCTCCGGAGGATGATGGTGGGACCTGCTCCATGACAAGTACCGAGGGGGCGCTGTTTCAGTTATTAGCCAGTCTTCGCTGAACCAGAATGCTCTGGAAATGTGCTCATGAGGGGAGTAGGCTGGGTTTCCTGGGGACCCAAGGGAAATCGGTATCTTGGCCTTACTCCTAGCTAATGGTTCCACCCCTCCGAGAGCACTTTCTTGCCTTAGTCCATAGTTCCTTTGGAGGGCACAGTTGACTCCGCTGAGTGAAGATCTGGCAGTATTTCGGGAACTGGTATAGGAAGCCAGGGTAGAACGCATAGAAGATGAATCAGAGGGGCCATGCCGGGCACCAGACCCAGCCTGAAATGGTTGGTTTTTTACGTGACATCCCTCAGAGTTTGCTTCTGTCTTCTAAAATTTGAAGTTCTTAACAACAGACAAATGGAAACATACCTTTTTTTAAAGATTTTTTATTTACTCACTTGAGACAGAGAGATAGAGAGAGAGAGAGCATGAGCAGGGGAGAGGCAGAGGGAGAGGGAGAAGCAGGCTCCCAGCCGAGCCATGAGCCAGACATAGGGCTCCATCCCAGGACCCTGGGATCACGACCTGAGCCGAAGGCAGATGCTTAACCATCTGAGCCACCCAGGTGCCCCGGAAACATACATTTTTAAAAGAATTTAAGCGGGTCGGGCACCTGGGTGGCTCAACTGGTTAAGCAACTGCCTTCGGCTCAGGTCATGAGCCTGGAGTCCCGGAATCGAGTCCCGCATCCGGCTCCCTGCTCAGCAGGGAGTCCGCTTCTCCCTCCGACCCTCCCCTATCTCATGCTCTCTTTCTCTTTTTCTCTCTCTTTCTCTCTCAAATAAATAAATAAATAAATCTTTAAAAAAAAAGAATTTAAGCGGGTCTTGATTCATTATTATTGTTACCATTAACAACAGAGTATTAGTATAGCAAGGAAAGGTAATATAGCAAAAGGAATGAAATTAAAGTTTAATGGTAATTAACCTCTTCCTAGGAGTTACTTTGGTTAGGAAAAGAATGAGTTTTTTTTTCTTTCTTTCTTTGTGAGAGCGTGCACAAGCGGAGGGAGCTGCAGGCGGAGGGAGAAGCAGCCCCCCCACACCCCCAGCAAGGAGCTGGACATGGGACTCAGTCCCAGGACCCTGGGAGCATGACCTGAGCCAAAGGCAGACACTTAACCAACTGAGCCACCCAGGCGCCCCTGTTTTTTTTTTTTTTTCTTTTGTCCAGTGAGACTGGGCTTTACCCGAGAATCCTAGAAGTACTCAGGTTAAACATGCCCTCTTTCAGATGGGCGACAGGGAAACATAAGGGAGATATGGTCATGCTGCTTTCCTCAGACCCCGGATGATCCCTCTGTGAAAGGGGTTTTCTTTCTAACCCCTTCCGAAGTCACACAATTCAGCATGCTCTCTGTCTTCAGCTGTTGACCAGCGAGGCCCCACACCAAGGCCATCTTTAGCCCAAGTTTCTTGAACAGTGTTTGCACTGCACATTGGGAGGGGTGTAAGAGATCTCTCTCTCTCTCTCTCTCTCTGCATTTTCCTGGGCCTTATTCTCCGTATTATCTATGCTCCCAAACGTGTGTGTGTGTATATACATTGTGTATATACATATAAATATAAATGTTTATTTATATTTATTTTATATATATATGTATATGTATATATGTATATATGTATATATGTATATATGTATATATGTATATATTTTTTTAGGGAAAAAAAACCCCAGTAAGTCAGAATGTCTTTTATTTGAGAAGAAAAAACAAAATCTCTTGGGAGCAGAAACGTTGGTACCTTTTCTCTTTCACCCAGCAGGGGTGACTTCATCTTGTGAGGTAGATTTTTCCATTTTGTAAAGCAGGGCTTTTTTTTTTTCAGGGTTTGAAAACAGTGACTCTGTGGCATTCTCAAGGGTCCTGGACATGGAATGTTCCAGAGCTCTCGGTCAAGGGGGCCAGAGCTTGACCCGAACCCTAACTTCTCTGTGGCTCAGTGTTCGGTGACTTTAGGGACAGGGGCATAGATTGTACTGCTCCCCGCTGATGTTACCTTCTTCCCCAATTTTGACCTCATTGTGCATTGCTTTGCAGAAAACTTGCTTTATTTGATGAATGGAATTCCTTGGCTGTTTATGTTTCAATGGATAACACAGTGGTCATTGAAGATATCAGTGAGTCCCTCGCCTGTTTACCTTCCTGGTTGGTGGGTGGTTGAGGTCCTTCCTCAACATTCAGAAGGTGTGTGTGTATGTGTGTGTGAGAGGGAACGACAGACAGACAGACACTGACCCTGGCCTGCTGCACCAAAGTAGGCAAACTTCGGGGAGCACAGGACTCCCTGTGCCTTTTCTTCTCTTCCCTTTCAGCTTTCTGAAAGGAAGAAAACAATGAGACGGTCCTCTCTCTCTGGAAGGGCCCAGACCCTTTCGCTGCAGGATACTCAGAGTGAGGATAATCAGTTAAATCACCTACAGGTCTTCTGCCGAGGCCCCCATTGGCCCAACCATGTGCTCTCCCTGATGGGGTTAGAGAGACCAAAAGATACAGCCTCTGTCTCAGAGGCCCTTGCAGACTAGTTGAGAAATAAGATTTTCTCAATGGGCCCCTAAGATCTGGCAGGAGGTGAGTTCTCAGGTGCCAGAAGGAAGAGAAGTAAGGGCTGGAGGAGTGGTCTGGGCTTCCTGTGGGAGGCGGGGCAAGCTGGCCCCTGGTGGTGGTGGCGGGGGGGGGGCTTCTAGGCAGGAGATGAGGTGGCCCTCAGTTTTGCCCTGGGCATATCTCGGATAACGATACCCCTTGACCCAACTCTCTTGATTTCCCTTTCCAGAAAAAATGTGCTGTGTCCTTCCTTTGAGGGCGGACACAGTGGGTGAGAGCCCCGCCGACACTCTGAATGCTTCGAACCAGAGTAAGGGCACCCCTGCGGGCCGCCCAACCTGGAAACCCCTGCTGCTCATTGTGCCCCTTCGCCTGGGCATAAACCAAATCAACCCTGTCTATGTTGATGCGTTCAAAGTAAGTCACTCCTTTTCCCGGGCCCATTGCCGCCTGCCCATCACACCGCCATGTGAGCACGGAGATCCGTGAGCAGCAGTCCACAAGTGAGTTGAGAATCTTGCATTCTCTTTCCCTCTAGGAGTGTTTTAAGATGCCACAGTCTTTAGGGGCATTAGGAGGAAAACCAAATAACGCCTATTATTTCATAGGATTCTTAGGTAAGAAAAGAGGACTCGCAAGTAAGTCGTCATGGGCTAGGGGAGGGTGGGCAGAAGGTTTGCACGGGAGCCCAGACAATTCCGGTTAGGGGGCCCTCCTCTCGCCCAGAGGTGCCGTGGCCTCTGGTCAGCTCATCCTGTCTCTGGCCTGATTTGTGGAGAGTAACACTTCTTGGTGCCCGATGGAGAGCACATCCCCCTTCAGTGTCTCCACCGCCTTGCCTCTTGAAAAGATGGTTCCACAGCTGCTTGCCCACTGGACCACCCCAAGGGCATGGCATCTTTTTAGCATCTCTCTCTCCTTTCTGTGGGGGCCCAGGGTGGCAGGGTTTCACTCCCCTGGCATTGTGGATCCCCCTCTCCTTGGGGCTTGGGCATTCGGGCTAGGACCCATTCTCTGGCTTCCCAGGCCCACGCAGCTGGGCCTGCTGCCTCATCGTTCAGAGCCGTGACCAGGTGGAATTGAGAGGAGGCAAAGACAGAGCTGTCCTTTTTCTGGTAACGGGGGCTAAGCCTGAAAACCACTAACATTCCTAATGCGGACCCTTGCCTCGGTTGATGCCTCTGGAACCCTAGCCACCGTATAGGCTAGCTGTGATCTGAGTCATTTAAGGCCCTTGGCACACCAGGCGAGCTAGCCCAGTGCTTCTCAAACTCTAATGTGCACACAGATCAGCCTGAGAGCCGATTAAAATGCAGGTTCAGTAGGTCCGGGGTGAGATTCTGCACTTCTAACTAGGCGGGCCTGATACTGCTCGTGTAAACACCACACATTGCATACCAAGGGCCCAGACACCTGGTTGGTGCTGAAGAGCACAGGGAAGGGAGTGGTGTGGCCTGAAACTTGGCCTTGAGGAATATGAGCTTGGATTACAAGGGAGAGCCTTGGATGGGCAAGGGGAGCCAGACCGGCCATGGAGAGTGGCATGAGGGATGTGCAGAGGAGAGCGTGAAGTGAGCTTGCACCCCCCGCCGTCCCACCCCGTGGAGATTCAGAGAGCTGAGGTGGCTTGGGAAACAGACATTCCTGGCCCTGTCCTTGGTCTCCCACATGCCAGCTAGCTGTGTGATAGCAGGAAAAGAATATCCACTCTTTTTGTCTCAGTTTCTTCTTGTGGAAAATAGGGCCAGGGCCCCTGGCCGGCTCAGTCAGGGGTAGAGCACGCGACTCTTGCTCTTGGGGTCATGAGTTCAAGCCCCACGTTGGGCATAGAGTTTACTTTAAAAAACAAAAAAGAAAATGGGGCTCACCCCTGCCTCGCCGTGTTGTCACCTCACAGTATAGCACTCAGCCAAGAGCTGGGCACATAGTGCGCACCCAGTGAAAGGTGGCGCCACCCTTCCGGACCCCCAGCACCTGTCTTTGCTTTGCTCCTCACTCTTCTCTTTGAGGTGAGGTTTCTACAGGGTGGCCTGAGCTCTCGCTATTGCTGCCATCTATTGGTCAAGCCTGAGAACCACAGCTTGATGGAACGTTTGCAAACCAAGGAGGCATTTATTTTTCTCAGTACAAAATCCAGTCTTTGGAGTCCTATAAATGTAGATGCCTTCCGCTTCTAAGCTTTTGGGTTCCTGTCAAAGAAAAGGTCGCAAAAATCAGTTTTCTCTTTTTCTGTGCTCGAGGCCAAGGCCGAAACAGATTGGAAAATAATTTTGGAGGGACCGCAAGGAACAATGTATGGGATTCCCCGGGGGGTCCTGGCCTCTCTTACCCCAAATTACCCAGAAAGAGTTTGCCGAGCCAGCATAGCCCCTCTGTTCCGTGAGGCCAGTGGGTCAGGGTGACTTTTGTGGAGGTTGACTACTCATTAAAGGGGTGTGGGCAATCTTCAGCTCCCCAGAAAGAGGTTTGCACAGTTCCCGTTTGCCATTGCCTTTTATAAATCCTTTGCTTCACCTTTATTTGCGGCCCCAAAGTCCTCCCGAATCCCCTTTTCTGACTTAACCCCTTACTGCATTATGTTGGGGGTTCCAGACTGGTCGAATGTCTGAAGGGAGGGAACAGATGAGAACTGCCATTTGCTGAACAGCTGTCTTGTGTCAGGGACCCTGCAAAGTCCCAACCCCAGATAGATAGATAGAGAACATATATACACATACAGGTATAGATAGGTAGTCCTATACAGAGATATAGATACAGACAGCACGATACCCCTGTGAGTTAAAGCTTACCATAGTGAAACTAAGAGAGGGTTGTTGCCTCAAGGTCACCCGGCTAGAAAGTAGCCAAGCCAGCATTCAATTCCAATTTGGCCAGCTCTGCCTACCATGCCACATTGCTTCCCAAGGGCCCTCTTTCCCAGTGGGAAGCTGGGAAAAGCTCTCGATGTGTGACACTATGTCTAAGATGAGAGTCCGGCTGTCTGGTTTTGCCTGCTTAGACAGGAGATGCTTGTCCCCTGCCCTTGGGTGAAGGTTGCCATTGGAGAGCCATTGCGTGAGCCCTGTGTCTGCAGGTGGTTGACCAGACAGCCTCTTGTGCTCAGGCCTAATTAGAGACCTTGGTTTGGTCCCCACATCCCTTCTAGGACCTTTTAGGGATTCTACTGTATCTCTCAGAAACAGCTCCACTACACACACACACACACACACACACACACACACACACACACACGGAAAGGGCCAGAATCACAGAGATGCTCTTATTATCCAATTATTCTCAGCACCTTAACTTGAAACACTCTGGCAGAATGCTCTATCCTAACCCCGCTCTAGATTTCTATTTTCTTGTGCACAACTTCCTTTTCTTCTTACTTTTCTATGGTCATAAGTAGGCTTCCTTCTGAACATCCTGGTTGTTGCTTTTCTTTATGACTTGAAGCTTCTGGGGTATAACTGATCTCACCCAGCTGTGGTCTAGGGGGAATATATATGTCTGTGATAGAGACAAGTTAAGCTATTCATCAGGCATCAGAAACGTTCTCTGCTGACAGAAGCACTTAGATGTGGCCCAGCACAATCCTGGATACCATTCCAGGGAGAGTCTTGGGGGGCATCTCTCCCTACCCCATCCTCCTGCCTTGGGTAGATCTCTCTTTGGTTGCCCAACCCAGTCTACAACACAGAGGCCCAGCTGGTCCTGAGGCCCAGATGGTGAGGTTGGGGTGCTACTTTCGCTAACTCAGCATGCCACTGATGAGCATTGGAGGGCCTCTCAGCCCTTTGAATATCAAAGTACAAGTTTTATTATCTCAGACTCCTCCCAGGTCATTATTGGGCTGTGCTTGTTCACCTTAATGAAGCATGGCTTTTCTCTCCTTTGTGCAGGCCCATCATCTCAAAGTGACTGGGGCAACGCTTTCCACTGGGAATTGCTAACTTGCCAGCTAATCGAGACCAGAAGTCAGAGTCCATCCATAGCAGAGTCAGCATTCCCATTTCTTTGGGAAGGCCAAGACCTCTTTTTTCTTACCAGATGTGCTCTCTGACCACAGGTCTGAGAACCAATGGCTTGAAGCGAGATGCTTCCCAATGTGGAAAGAGGAAGAAAGCTCCCTAATGGCACCCGGGCTCACGCCCTGGTGATTGTACCTACCACCTCTTTGCTAACTGCTGCTCACAGAGCCTGCCATGTCATCTGTGGTCTCTCATTCGCACATTTTCTCAAACCCTTCCCTCTCCATTTTTGGTCTTGGGCTTTGAGGAGATGTAAATGCTAGGGCGAGTCTTCTCGTTGAATGATTGGATTTGGCTTCCTTCAAGCATGAGCACCCAAGTTTAGGCTTTCTGTCATCTCATTCCCATTGTCACCAAAGGGAGGGGTTAAGAAAACCAGAGCGCCTCCTCCCGAGGGACAGCTGTGGGGCCAGGGCCAGTGGTTCTTTCTAGATTAAGCATGTCTCATCCCAAACAGGCAATGAGCTCATTTTCTTGGACCCTCACACAACCCAGACTTTTGTTGACACCGAAGAGAATGGAACAGTTGACGACCAGACTTTCCACTGCCTGCAGTCCCCGCAGCGAATGAACATCTTGAACTTGGATCCTTCCGTAGCGCTGGTGGGTACCTGAAGGTTGGGTGGGCCAAGAGATACGACGCCACGCTGTTACAGATTGGTTCCCTGGGAGTTCTCCAGGTTGCTAGGTAGGACAGCGAGAGTATGTTCGCTCACTAGGCCCCATCCCCCGAGAGGTACCATAGTATAGTGGGGAAGGGATGGACCCTGAAGGCAAACTACTAGAGTTGGAATCCAGGCCCTGTCACTTACTAGCTATGGACTTATGGGGAGTCCTTGAACTTTTCTGAGCCTCAGCCTACTCCTCCCTAAAATGAGCAAAACAATACTTCCTTCAGGGTTGTGGGAGGCATACCGTGCATAAGGCACTCAGCACAGTGCCGGGCACACTGCAAGCATTCTGTAGATGTCGGTTATTATTAGTGTTACAGTCTTTCCCCTTTTACTTCTTGCCCCCTAATTATTGCCACCCAGGCACAGGGAATAAGGCGGGACATAGTTAGGGAAGGATCAGGGGGCAAGATCTGGGTGGATAGCACTCATTTCCCTGGGCCCGCAATCCAGGAAGATGCAGGGTTTTCCCCCTGGAGATATGACGACCGTCTATACACGCTGAAGGGACAGCTGCCCGTGAAGTTACCGGTGGTTCTGAGGCCTGTCTGCATCTTCTCTTCCAGTTTAACCCAATTGTCAGAGCACCAGAGACTGAGAGCGGACAAGAGTCCTCCTCTCGTTTTGGACCATTCTTTCACTACTGTAGGATGGCTCTGAGGATGGGGAAGGAGGTGGATGGTTCTCTTTATTCTAAGAGATCATTTCCTTCAGGTCAAAGCCATCTTATTATGCACTGCCTCTAGCTAAAAGTACTATTTGGCTTTTGTTGGTTGGTTTATCGACTGTTCTTTATGGGTGTGTCTATTTGCACACTGAGTGTAATGGAATTAACCCCATGCTTTGGAGATTGGTCTTCAAGTTACTATATCTCACAGTATGAGAGGAGGGTGACAGGGAGGGTCAGGGAGGGAAAGGAAGGGAGGGGGCGAGAATGAGAGAAAGAGGGAGAGGGAGAGATGGAATGAGTGAGTAAATGTGTGTGTCCAGGTAAGGCAATGACCCGGGAGAGGGAGCAATGCAGCCAATGTGTTTCGCTATTGTCAGAAGACGCATCTAAAGAGAGCGACCCCCATCCCAGCTCTGGGCAGGCAGCGCCATCTTGTAGTATGAAGGGCCTGATTCGGTTTCCCTAACCAGTTCTAAGTTATGTTCTCTTGCTTTTCCCCCGCAAGGGATTTTTCTGCAAAGAAGAAAAGGACTTTGATAGCTGGTGTAGCCTCGTGCAGAAGGTAAAGATGTGTGTTTTTCTTAGTCTTAAAAGCAGAAGTTATTCAATAGGATCCCTTTTCAAGACTGCTTCACATAGTGACATGAGTCTAGCCTGATAGGATTGTATTGCAAGGGAAAAACTAAGATGTGGGGAATTATGCATAACTCTGGGGGGAACCAGAGCAAAACCTTTGCTTGAAACATGCTTAGTATATCAAGTGGGTGATATTTTTAGCTATGTAATGTCTCATCTGATTATGCCTACAAGTCACATGAAATATTCAACGAATATGCCACCATTTTCACTTAAAAATGCTAATTTCACGTAGTTCGGCCTAAAGTCTTCCTCATTCTGTTCCTACCGCTGAGATGGTTGAAGGAACCAAACTGCTTTTCTATTTGTTTTGTGGTCCGTTTACAGTTTCATATAGTCCATGATGTAGTTTAGGGGGCTGTCTTTCTCTTAGCTGTCTCATTTCTTTTTTTTTTTTTTAAGATTTTATTTATTTGACAGAGAGAAACACAGTGAGAGAGGGAACACAAGCAGGGGGAGTGGGAGAGGGAGAAGCAGGCTTCCTGCTGAGCAGGGAGCCCGATGCGGGGCTTGATCCCAGGACCCTGGGATCATGACCTGAGCCGAAGGCAGACGCTTAATGACTGAGCCACCCAGGCGCCCCTTAGCTGTCTCATTTCTATAAAATGTGGGCACGCTGCCATTAAAGGAAACACAATTTGCAGGAATGTGTGTAAACACCCAAGCCAGATATTCTCTCTTCTCGGTATTTTGTGTAAAAGGATATTTACTGTTTTGCTGGCTCACCAGTCTTGGCATCTGCCCCCCTCGTCCTAGCTTCTAACACATGCCAAGCATGTGGGAGACATTGATAAATGCTTATGAAAGAAGGGCGATCACAGGGAGTAGCTGAAAAGCGCCCTGGATGGGGTGGCAGGAGACTTGCTGTTCTCCTATCTGCAACAAAAGGAAAAAAAAAGAAAAAGAGGTTGGGGAGATGGGAGCCCAGAGCCTCTTGCAAGTGTAAGGAGGGCAGATTTTGTCTTCACAAGCACACAGATAATTGACACTAATGTCCCTAGCTGACTCTGCAACCCCAGTTCATCATTGGCTGGGACAAAATGGAGAATTCTTTTCTAAAGGCAATACTTACCCTGTCAGAATGCAGCAAAACTCTATTCACACGCCCTGTAAAGTCTGAATGAAAGTTCTCTGGTAAGACTGTGCCATCTAAATTAGGACATACACCACAAGTGTTGGACTAAAATCAAAACCCCGCCAACACTATGTCCTAGGATCCTCTGGGGGCGGATTTCACGTAATTAACACGCATTTCCTTGGAGCCAACACATCAGGAACAGCTCGGTGCTGAACTGAGTTAGGTGCAGGCAGCTGGCCTTCCGTCAGCTACCCCCTCCAGTGTCCTTCACAGACTGGCGCAAGAATTGAAGCGGGCTGGGTCTTCAGATGGATCGCGTAGAGGATGGGCACACTGGCCAGGGCTTTGTTCTCGCCTTTCCACAACCAGGTCACTCTTGCAGGGCTTGGGATCACAGATGGACAGCCGGACTGAAATGTGTCGTCAGTCTGAAATGTTTACAGCCGTTTCTGTGTGTCCTCAGGAAATCCTAAGGGAAAACTTAAGGATGTTTGAATTAGTTCAGAAACATCCATCGCACTGGCCTCCCTTCGTTCCTCCAGCCAAGCCAGAAGTGACAACCACCGGGGCAGGTAAGCCATTGTTCCGGGGCTCTTGGGTAGCAGTTGTTTCACGAGACCGAAGCGACTGTGGCTCACGCTTTCCATGGAAGGTACAGTTTCTCCTCAGCTGGCCTGAGCAAGGAGTAGTGTCCCCGATGATTTTAATCTTCCAGTGAACTGATCTGCACCAATTTCAAAGCCTGATAGTTGAAGAAAATGAGCTCAATGCAAAAGGGCCATGCAAAATCAAAAATGACGAGAACGTGTATTCATGGTCTGGCCCCAAATCCAAATCAGGGGCCAGGGGTGATTCAAAAGGTACCTCAAAGACCCCCAGAGCCTCATCCTCATCCCTGGGAATAAGAGCGTCTAACGAGCTCAATTATTTTTGCTTCTTTCGAAAGAATCTCTAGTACTTGTCCACGGTCCCACCTGCGAGTCTCCTCCACAGAAGCTTTTCTGTAGCAAAACCATTAAAAAATGAGTAGGCTTAACTACTGAGTAACTGTACCGACCAGTTCAACCCGAGTGTCAAGCTTTCTTCTTTCTCATTTCCATATTCCGATAGAATTCATTGACTCCACTGAACAACTAGAGGAGTTTGACCTGGAGGAGGATTTCGAGATCCTGAGCGTCTAGGGTAGTGGAAACGCGATTTGGAGGTCTGTCTTCGATCCGGCACCGGAAGAACACGAACCCGTTACATGAGACTTTTCTAGTCCACAAGTGCCTGATATGCCAACAGCATACAAACTTGATAGCAATCATGACTGAGCCAATTACCATTTCTCAGAAAACGAACGATAACAACCCTGCCCCAGAACGAACTAGAACAATCATGGAACATAGGAGCAGAAAGATTAGGAGCCGTCCCTTGCTTCCCAGCTTGTCTTACCTGGCCACAGCGAGTCTTCAGCTACTGAAACAAGGAGATGGATGTCTAACAGAGAGACAACAACTCCCACCTTGCTTCAAGCACCAGCAGAGGAGAGATGGTTACCCTGTGCTTCTTCCCCCTTTCAGGAGTGACCTCTTTTGGGCTAAATACTAAGAAGCAATCTGTTCTCTTGCTCTAATAATAAAGTGATTGCATCAGGGAGAAAAAGGTCTTATTAAGTTATTTGGATATGTATTTTAAATGGTTATAATGCAGATCAAAAATCTGCCCGAGAAATTACAGCAAATGCGCACTGGTTGTTCTCATTCCTATCTGAGGGAACCTTGCAGTCCGATGGGTCACTGTCACCATCCTTACTGATCTTTTTGTCAGATGTCACCCTGCCCTTCAATCAAGTCATGATCACTTTATTTTTATTTGTTTATTTATTTAAAAACTCTTTTTTAAATAGATTTTATTTATTTGAGAGAGAGAGCACAGGAGTCGGGGGGAGGGGCAGAGGGAGAGGGAGAAGCAGACTCCCCGTGGAGCAGGGAGCCCGACGTGGGGCTCGATCCCAGGACCCCGGGATCATGACCTGAGCCGACGGCAGACGCCTAACCGACTGAGCCACCCGGGCGCCCCAAGTCATGATCACTTTAAATCAGCGGTGGGCAAATTTTCCTGCCAAGGGCCAAATAGTAAACACTTTCGGTTTTGCGGGCCATGCGGCCTGTGTCACAGCCACTCAGCTCTGCGGTCAAAGTGCAAAAGCAGCCAATACCAGCGGGCACACAAACGAGCCTGGCTGTAAGCCAATAAAGTTTTATTTACAAAAACAGGTGGCGAGCTGGATTTGGCATGCAGACTGTAAGTTTGCCAATCACTGACTTAAAATTGTTGGTTTGGGGGAAAATAAAAAATGGTGTTTGACTTCGACTCCATTTTGGTTGACAGCCACAATTAGAAAAAATTATTCACGTGGTGACATTTAATCCGTGCAGCAAATGCAATTCCAAACCGTTTCGGGATGAGCAACATAGCAAATCTTAAAGCACATTTTCATCAGATTGGCTTTACTAAACCCTCTCTTGTGTGGCTGCACCTCAAGCCTAAGTGGCGTCTTCCCGTGTTCCTTTCCTTCCCTCTTAACTTGGGTGCATTTCACCCCCTTTCTCCACCAAGGCCTGAGGAAGGCCAGCAACCACTAGCGTGAAAGCCAGCACAGAGCAAAGTTGGTTTTGTTTTGTTTGTATATGTAGGAATATTAGAACACTTATTTCCTTAAATTCCATTTTTCTTCTTTTTTTTTTTTTTTCCAGTAGGTAATATATTCCAGTGGTTCAGAAATCAAAAGGTGCAAGATGGTATGCAATGAAAATGTCTCTCCCTCCCACAGGTCGGTTCCCTTCCCGGAATACTCCCAGCATCATTTCTTTCTTGTTTATCCGTCCGGAAGATATGTTTTATGCATATACAAATATATGCATATATGCCTTGGATTTGATTTTAACAACCTCAACATTTCTCTAGTTTTTAAAAAAGATTTTATTTATTTTTGAGAGAGAGCACGCGCGCGTGAGGGGGGTTGCGGAGGAGCAGAGGGAGAAGGTGAGTCTCAAGCAGACTCCTCGCTGAGCACGGAGCCCGACGTGGGGCTCGGCCTCACGACCCTGAGATCACGACCTGAGCCGAAACCAAGAGTCGGACGCCTAACTGACTGCGCCACCCAGGTGCCCCAACATTTCTCTACTTTCGATTTATCTAGAAAGGATCCCGAAGCCCCAGAAGTATGGAAACCCGTTTCTTGAACTCTAGCATGGACGGGGCTAAAAGCAGTTATAGGCGGATTTTGAAACTGAGTTGTGGATTTGTTGCCTTCTGCCTTTTGACCTTTAATTGTATTTTTCCCACCTCAGTGTTTTGTTGTAAAGCTCAGCTTGCAGTAACAGGCTCTGAGGGGGACTCACGAATTATAGCGAAATGGACTTTAGAAAAGTATTCATCAGAGAATGTCAAAAGAGTCAAATGTTGATGTTTGATTCCTTTTATTTGCAATGTACAAAGCTGACAGCATGCTTATTACTCAGGAGGTGAAGGTAACAATAATTCAGATTATACTGATTATGCTTTCTTTGTGTTGGCCCGGTTTATATAATATTTAAGGAAAGAGAATCACCTGGAAGGAGTTGCCTCATGTTAACATAGCTAAGTATTCTGAGAAACTGATAATCAGAGGAAATGGTTAAAACACATCCCCCTGCAGAGAATACAATACACTTTATAGTCAACTCCGGCTTGCTTTAGGTCTGCCAACTGCTAAGGAGAGGAGTGTGCTAGATTTGTATGAGGTTTAACAAAATATTAAAATAGTTTAACAGGCTACCTGTGAAAGAGCAATTGGATGGACATTTTAATGGCAAGTCTCTAACAACAGCCTCAGAACGCAAAAGACCCAACAAACCACGGCTTCGTTTTGCCCCACCGCACACATCTGGATGGCATTTGGAATAAACAGGGACCTCTGAGAAACTGGGACAAGGGTTTTGCCTCGTTTTGTTCCTGGAGTCCAAAGCAAAATTCACACCTCCTTGCCCATCCCCCTCTGCGCCCCCCAGCCTGGGAGAAAGGGGTGTGGTTCTCATTTCCCTTTCTGGGCCCCCGCTGCATGCGGTGCCTCCCTTGCTCTACTCTGGACCAGGCCAAGTCCTAGGTCTCTGGCTGGGGAGGGAGCCAGCAAGGAGGAAGTGATTCCTGTTTGGCACCATCTGAAGTTAAGGAGCCCCCTCCTGAAGCGCTCTGGGGCCCAGCCGCGCTCACTGCTCACTCTCGAAGGAATCAGAGCGCACCCCGGGCTGCCGGACAAGTGACAAGTTTCTTTTCTGAATGTGGAAACACCGGCTTCTGGTTTAAGCCAAAGACTGTGTGGTGACCTCGGAGTCTAAGAAAGCAGTCGCCCAGCAGGTCTTTCCGAGGCAGCCGTGAATAAGCATGCGAACCTCCGCATCCAACGGCAGCACCAGGTTGAAATGGGGCAGCCGAGCTCAGGAGGGCGGGCTCACCCATCGCGCCTGACGGTCGGGCTGACCAGTGCCCAGCAGCCCAGCCCGCGGGAGACTTGACAGAGGGGCACCCGGGCATGGGGCCTTCCTTCTTCAGCTCGTTTGAGGCTGTGAGGGGCCCGCTGTGGGGGGGAGGGGCGGGC